GGGGATGAAGACTACAACTCCCATGATTCCACACTCAGTCACGGCGTCATTAAACTACTCGCCCTCTAGCAGCGAAAATTACATATTGTGCCTTTAATCAAAGCAACCCAACTGCAGTTTGATTGATATTACTTGGAATGCGCAAAAAAAAAAACGTGATTTCTTAAAAATAAAAATGGGAGTTATCGGTTTTTTGCAAATGAACTCTTCAGATCGTCTTTGACGCCTGAGCAACAACATTACACAACCTGAGATCTGCTCAGAGGCTCCAGTCCTAAAAGCTCAAATGTAGTGCATCTGTACTTTTGTCACGTTATCTATCTATCCATCCATCCATCCAGTCACATAACTTTGTACACTATATGTGACCTTGGACCACAAAACCCAGTCATAAGGGTAGATTTTTTTTAAATTGAGATTTTTACATCACATGAAAGCTGAATAAAGAAGCTTCCCATTGATGCATGGTTTGTTAGGATATGACAATATTTGGCACAGATACAACTATTTGAAAATCTGGAATCTGAGGGTGCAAAAAAATCTAAATATTGAGAAAATCGCCTTTAAAGTTGTCCAAATGAAGTTCTTAGCAATGCATATTACTAATCCAAAATTAAGTTTTGATATATTTATGGTAAGAAATTTACCAAATATCTTCATGGAACATGATCTTTACTTAATGATTTTTGGCATAAAAGAAAAATCGATCCTTTTGGCCCATACAGTGTATTTTTGGCTATTGCTACAAATATATCCCAGCGACTTAAGACTGGTCTTGTGCTCCAGGGTCACATATATGATGCAAGCAGTGCTCATTAACACTGAAACCTCAAAATGATATGCATTTAAACACCTCTTTTGTATTTTCTTGTGTTTTTGTCCTGCAGAGACCAAGCAGGAGTTGGAGGACCTCACAGCTGACATTAAGAAGACAGCCAATAAAGTGCGCTCTAAATTAAAAGGTATAAAACCAGTAATGTTAGCTTTATTAGAACATTTAAAGTCTTATATAATTGTTTTGAACAAAAGTAGTCAAAGTAGTGGATGTTTATGTTAATTTTGGCAGTCAGACATTACATTTTCTAATACATTAAGGACTAATTGCCTACTCCATATATATATATATATATGACAATCAAAGTGATTAATTATGGTGCACAATGTATAGACATATAATTTATCCCTCTTCTCCCACCCGCCACCCACGGTCCATCCCTCTGAAAGTGATCAGCAGGAGTCACAATATTGATGGCCAGAAGGAGGTGCCGAGAGATTTGAACCATGGGGCTTGTCTAAATCCCTCAACCTGGCTTAGTTTGTGATGATATGTTGTGTATATGTATCTATATATATATGAAATGCATAACACATAGTTCAATGGATAAAATGCAGTTTTTAAATACTAAATTTGAAACTAAAATCTATGACAGTCAATGTGCACATATAATATAGCAAATATTTCGGCATGAATCTGTAAGTGCATTATTCCTCTTAATAAACACACAAATACTCCCTGGTGATGAAGTGATATTGGCATTAACACTCGTAGTGGAAGAAATGTCATGGTCATCAGACTGTCATGAGAGAAAGCAGCAAGGGATTGGATTAGTCAGAGGAGAGGACAGCAGAGTGTGTAGGTGGGAGTTGAAAAGGCTGAGGTGGTGTCCAGGGAGCGAATGGCACTGCAGTAACTATCAATCAACATATGACTGCAGCCTGCAGTCTGTACACACATCAAGCACTTTACCACTGACGCCTGAGCAACAACATTACACAACCTGAGATCTGCTCAGAGGCTCCAGTCCTAAAAGCTCAAATGTAGTGCATCTGTATTTTTGTCACGTTATCTATCTATCCATCCATCCATCCAGTCACATAACTTTGTACACTATATGTGACCTTGGACCACAAAACCCAGTCATAAGGGTAGATTTTTTTGAAATTGAGATTTTTACATCACATGAAAGCTGAATAAATAAGCTTTTTGATGCATGGTTTGTTAGGATATGACAATATTTGGCACAGATACAACTATTTGAAAATCTGGAATCCGAGGGTGCAAAAAAATCTAAATATTGAGAAAATAAACTACTCGCCCTCTAGCAGCGAAAATTACATATTGTGCCTTTAATCAAAACAACCCAACTGCAGTTTGATTGATATTACTTGGAATGCGCAAAAAAAAAAAAGTGATTTCTTAAAAATAAAAATGGGAGTTATCGGTTTTTGCGAATGAGCTCTGCATATATAAATACGTACATTTATACAGTTTGAGACGGTGAATATTCTTAAGGTGTTCTTCGACTCTTTGAATTTATAGCATGAGAAACTGAGAAAAGTTCAGGTCTATTTGGAAGTATGCATTAAGTTTAGTCTTCCAAAGCTCCTAAAACCTTCATCATCACGTAGGCAAGGCTAATTTAGACACGATCTTTGATTCTGAAGGCAGCCTGCTGAGGCCAAGGGCGTTACATTCTTAACAAGCAGGGGTTTTGACTTTTGAAGTGCTTTCCTTCTGAAGTCGCTCAGAAAAAGACAAAAAGTTGCACTCCACCCCAAGCACAAGATAACATTTTTCAGTAACTAATACAATGACAATATGAGTGTCCTTGTTTTTATTACACCAATGTCTAATAACTTGAGAGAGCTATCAGTCAGCATTCTCATTGATCTCACTGGCAGTTGATCAATCAGAAGTATGACTTATACTCTGTTAGCTTTGCTTTCAGAAACAACATTTTTTTAGAGCCAGTCACCTGAGCTGTAAATGCCATGTGACTAATCTCCTCAGAATTTTTTTATTATGACAACACTGATTGGCTGATAGCAACACAAACCCTTTATTGTTGACTATTCTATATATGTATTTTTTTATAATAAATGTTAATGTTTTTTATTAATTAATATATATATATATATATATATATATATTTCAATATATAGAGTGAGGGGTTAGGGTTATATATTTATTTATATTTTTATAATATATTTACTCACTTTTAATAAATGTTATTTTTATACTTTTTTAATTTTATGATATACTTTATTATATGTATATGTAATATTATATTTAGATATGATATTATATATTATATTTATATATTTTACATTTATTACATATAGGGTAAGGGGTTAGGGTTGTATATTTATATTTTTTATAATAAATGCATTTTATGCACTCATTACATATTACATTTTATTTGTTATTATTCATGAGATATTAAATATAACATTTTATGTTACATAAT